AAGTTGGCAAAACCCTCCATGATACTGAAGCTAATGGTATCTTCAAGGATGTCTCGCCACTGGCCAAGCAAGTGAAAACAGAGATAGACAAATGGGACTACCTTAAACTAAGAAGCTTCTGCACCTCAAAAGAAACAGTGACCAAAATACAAAGACAGTCTACAGAATGGGAAAGGATATTCGCCAAATACACATCTGACAAGGGGTTGATATCAAGGATATACAAGGTACTGGTTGAACTCCACAAGAAGAAAGCACCCAACCCCATCAAAAAATGGGGCGAGGAAATGAACAGAAACTTTCACAAAGAAGAAATCCGAATGGCAAAAAGGCACATGGGAAAATGCTCTACATCACTAACCATCAGGGAGATGCAGATCAAAAGAACAATGAGATACCATCTCACACCACAGAGACTGGCCCACATCCACAAGAAAAAAAGCAACTGGTGCTGGCATGGATGTGGCGAGAAAGGGACCCTCCTTCACTGCTGGTGGGAATGCAGGCTGGTCCAACCCTTTTGGAAAACAGTATGGACGATTCTCAAAAAATTAGAATTTGATCTCCCATTTGACCCAGCAATACCACTCCTGGGAATATATCCCAGAGAGGCAAAAAGATATAGTCGAAGTGACATCTGCACTTGTTTGTTCATTGCAGCACTCTTTACAATAGCCAGAATCTGGAAAAAACCTGAGTGCCCAAGAACAGATGACTGGTTAAAGAAACTTTGGTACATCTACACAATGGAGTACTATGTAGCTGTGAGAAAAGAGGAAGTCATGAAATTGACATCCAAGTGGTACTACATGGAAAGTATCATGTTAAGCGAACTGAGTCAGAAAGAGCGGGATAGACAGAGAAAGATTCCATTCATCTAGGGAACATAAAGCAACAAAATGGGAGACTAACACCCAGGAGTGGCTGAGATTAGTACCAGGAATTTTGCTCCATGACTTGGAGCCAGCCACGTGTGCTAGGGGAAAAGGAAGCTCAGATAGAGAAGAGAGCACCAAACAAAGGGTGTTGTGAGGATCCTCCCAGGGTGGGAGAAGTATGCTGAAAGTAGACTATAGACCAAACATGATTGCCACTCAATGCCTCTCTTGCAAAACACAGAACCCAAAAGAAGAGAGAGAGAACAAGGGGGAATGCCCTGCCACAGAGGCAGGGTGGGATAGGAAGATGGGGGGTGGGAGGGATGCTAGGACCAGTGGTGGTGGAAGATGGGTGCTGGTGGAGAGATGGGTACTCGATCATTGTATGACTGAAACCCAAGCACAAAAATTTTTAAGTCTATAACTGTACCTCATGGTGTTTCACTAATAAAAAAAAATTTTTTTAAATATTCTTGGGTCCATAATGATAGTGTAGTGAATAGGACTCCTGTCTTGTATGTAGTCAACCAGGCTCTGATCCCTGACATCCCATATGGTCTTCCAAGCCCTACTGCAACTGATCCCTGAACACAGTCAGGAATAAGCCCTGAGCACCACCAGGTACAGCACAAAAGAGGGGGGGAAAACCAGACCATTCTATCCGCAGTTATTTCATTGTAATTCGGGAGAAAAAAGATTTTTTTCTGAAATGAAAATGCTACAAGGTTTCTTGCAGAAAGAGAGACAGAAGAGAGGCGCCTGCCATAGAAGCAGACTGGGATGGCATAAGTTTGGAGAGTGGGAGGGGAACTGGGGACAGTGGTGCTGAGAAATTACACTGATGGAGGGATGGGTGTTGGAACACTGGATAGCTGAAACCCAATCATGAATAGCTCTGTAATGACCTATCTCACAATGATTCAATAAAATAAAAAATAATATAAAAAATTTAAAAATAAAAGGTTTCTTGCAACAGCATCAATGGTTTCTAGAAATTGGTCAACATTAAAAATATTTAATTCTAAGAAAGTGCTAATACAATAAAATCTTATTTTTAAAGGCACAATGAATACCTCCTGCCTCAGCATCTTAAGGGGAGCTGTTCATGCTCAATCTCTTGCATGAATTCAGACTCTAACTCCTCCATTTCTTGCTACACAATATTTATCATAAGATGCTGTGCTTCGTTTTTGTCATCTTAGTATAAGGATAGTAACAATACTTACCTCCTAGGATCCCTGTGAGAACTGAATGTTTTAGTATAAGCAAGAAACATTCGCCAGAGTCCATATGCAGTAGCTGTGAGTTATCACTATTGCTTCAGGTTAGGACAGCAGAAGACACCTTTTGTGAAGTGTTAAATGGGCCAGAGATAATAAAGGGGTTAAGACATGTGCCTTGCATGCAGTTAACCCAGGTTCAATCCCCAGCATCACATATGGTTCCCTGAGCACTTCCAGGAATTTTATACCTGAGCACAGAGCCAAGAGCAAGCCTCAAGCACCTCTGGGTGTAGCTCAAAAAAGAAACAAAGATTGATAAAACTGATGGCAAGCATGACAAGATTTTGCTGGCATCTGGATGTAAAATATTGGCCCTTCCTACTTCTCACACCCTCTTTAGTGGTTCTTGAAAGTCCTGGAAATCTATCTGGCCATTTAGAATTAAAGACCAATGGTAGGTAGGGAGCTACCCTTTACCTGCAGATGCTATCCAAGTGAGTTTAGTATAGTCAACCTCTGGTTGCCTCAGTAGGAAACAGTAATTCCAATTCAATTAGCCTGCACTGGGACCCATGGGCCATGCACCTGACTTCATACTTAACCTTTACCTGATCTCTTGGAACACAGAGCCCACCAACTATTTCATTTATCCTTGCATTTTCCAAAGTCACAAAAAGGAAAATAAAATTCAAAGCTGAAACAGAAAGGTTTTTTGTTCATTCTTTCCCTTTAATTTACTGGAAGTCCCAACTTCTGAATAGAAGGAAAAAGGCCTTGGCAGGCATTTGGAAAGGGAACAAGTCATCAGAAAGAGATGTGAATTCCCACTAAGTAAACACACCAAACACACGCTCTGCCACGCTTCCTCGAGGTCAGTCACGCTGCACTGGTATTCCTGTCAAGGAATAGAGGGGAACGAAAAGGAGAGACACAAAAACCCTGAAAATAAACTCTGGCTCTAAGAGAGTAGAAGAAACTGTCTCAGAATATAGTTACCCAATATTTCACTAATTAGGGGAAGCAACCCATAAGGAAATGAATTCTTCTGCTACATGCATAAGAAAGAGAGCACATTTTATGTATGGCATCACCCCTAGCAAGACAACAGGACTCGGACAAATAGATAAGAAGTAAAGATAACCTCAGTGAAATCAAGCTTTTTCATTACATCCTTCCAACCTCCTTTCCTATGCTCCATTGTATTTAATCTATTGCTTTTCTAGGAACTTGAGATATCAACCTTGAGAAAGTACTATTCTCCAAAGAAGGCCAACTGTCCTTGTTTACATCTTAGCATGAATTAAGCTCAGTAAGGTCTAAGTTCTTTTACTATGTTCATGATTTCTAAGGTGACTGGATATTTATGCCCTGTACAGATAAAGTTTGTACTGAGGCATGTATAGCCCAAGGCAAGTACCGAAGTTATACTCTGCTTGCCTAAATCACCGCTTAAATCTCTAAAATAGGGGCTGGAGCAATAGCACAGCGGGTAGGGTATTAGCCTTGCAAGCGGCAGACCCAGGTTCGATTCCCAGCATCCCATATGGTCCCCCGAGCACTGCCAGGAGATATTTCTGAGTGCATGAACCAGGAATAACTCCTGTGCTTCGCTGGGTGTGACCCAAAATCTCTAAAATAAAGAATTACCATTAACCTAAATTTACATTTTAAAAAAACTGTAGAGATGTACTCATTTATGTCCTCAAACACCACATAAAGACAATAATCCTTGATATTAAAAAGAAATATCAGACTGGAAAACATCACCAGGAAAATCTAGTGTTTGGTTCAGTATCATCATCACTAATTTCCCTTGTAACCATAAAAACACCACTTGAATTCCTCTGTCTTTGGTGATAAACTGAATGGCAATAGCTATCTATATACTGATGGCCCAGGAAGTGAGAACAATCACTCCCTAGAGCATCTATCTGTCTCCCTGATAGCAATCTACAATTCAACTCTAAAATTCTATGATCCATTGGTATTTTCAGCTCTAGTACATTCAGACATGTGATGATGAAATTTCAACATGCACCTAGAAATGAAAATGATCTATGTAATTGTAGACATAAAAGTAGACTTCCTTAATCAAAGTTGCCTGGGTGCAATAAACATAAAGAACGCTGTAGAATTAGAATCTTTCCCCCTCAACTCCTAAGCTAGCATCAACTCAAAAGCTTTCCAAGTTTTTGTTGACTTTTAACTATGGGCTGGAGCAACAGCGCAGCGGGTAGGGCATTTGCCTTACACACGCCTGACCCAGGTTCAATTCCTCCTCCCCTCTGAGAGAGTCCGGCAAGCTCCCGAGAGTATCCTTCCCACACGGCAAAGTCTAGCAAGCTACCCGTGACGTATTTGATATGCCAAAAACATTAACAAGAAGCCTCACAATGGAAGCGTTACTGGTGCCCGCTTGAGCAAATCGATGAACATCGGGAAGACAGTGCTATAGTGCTACTTTTAACTACAGAACAACAGAATGAACTTGAAAATGTGTGCACAATAAGGACGCTATCTAAATATATATGGAGCCCTCTTATGTTGAACTTTAAGACACACAAGGTAGCAACAAAGGTGCAGAGGCAACACAATGGGAGAACAATCCACACAATGGAGTTTGGGGGAGGTGAGATTAGGAGTGGGAAGTCTTGGGAAGGGAAGGTGGGGAACATACAGGTGATGGGTGTGTGTTGGAATCATATCCATGAGAAGCCATTATTAATAGCAGTGTAAGCCACTGAATCTCAATTAAAAATTTTAAAGAAAAAAATAATGAAGAATGCAACCATAAAGCTGAATTCTTATATCACAGGGAGATCAGGTACAAGACAGGAGAACATATGCAAAATAAGAATTCAGTCTACTGGGTCTTCGGGAGGTTTATCTCAGAGCTCACCTTCCACCAGTTGGTCCAGGCTGGAAATCTTCTTGAGCCCATCAATGGTGTAGATTGTTCTCACTCCCTGGGGCAAATTCACATTATCTGACAGAGTTCGGGTCAAATCAGCCAGCAGGGCCTCAAAAGATCGGAAGCGGTCTGGGGAGATGGCGTAGACAATCCCTTTGAAGTACCGATCTCCATTGCGATAGAATCGAACTTTCTTGGCCTTCTTCTCGGAGCTGAGGGTCTGCAGAGTGCGGGTTCGGTAAAAGCTGCAGTGGGCGCTGTGTGTGGGACTGGGCAGCCCGTTCACCCGCGACCCTCTGCTGTATCTCTGGGCCTTATCCCGCTCATCAAAGTGCTCCAGCTCCATGTCTCTGCCAAACGACATGATGGAGTCAAAGTTGAACCTATGAAGCCCAGAGACAAAAAGAGAAACACATTCTGCTGTTATTTTAAGATCGGGGTTTAAGAGGTTCCGCTTGAGAGCAGCTGGTGGTAATATTGCTATGACTGATGATATATTTAACATGAGCCACTGAGTTGGCAGAGAAAGAAGACAAAGAGACAGAAGAGCAAATTCCGTGGGAACAGCATATGAATCACCTCACCCCAGTTCAGTTAGAAACCACGTCTATGAATTGGTTACACGCACCTGTTAGAGTTTGAGCTGGCTACTATTTCCGGCAGCCCCAGTGAACCTTTCAAACATTGTCATTCCCATGTACAGGTAAAGAAACCAAGACACAGAAAAATAAAATTCTCCTCAATTGCTTCTAGAAATGCTTCTACTTGGGGCTGGAGTGGTAGCACAGCAGGCAGGGTTTTTGCCTTGCACGTGGTCAACCCGGGTTTATTCCTAGCATCCCATATGGTCCCCCAAGCATCCCCAGGGGTAATTCCTGAGTGTATGAGTCAGGAGTAACCCCTGTGCAATGTGGGGTGTGACCCAAAAAGCAAAAAAAAAAAGAAAAAAGAAAAGAAATGCTTCTACTGAAACAGACATCTCAGATTTGCCAGGTGCCAAAACCCAGGGCTTCGGGAAGGGACTGCACTCAATGTTGTGGCAGGTAGGAAATAACACTTTCAGATCACTCAGTGGCACAAAAGAGCTGTGGGAGACAACAGGAAACATAAAGGGTTCAGGCAGCATTTAACAGACAGGTTGTAAATGTTTTACATAATGCTATAGCGCTCCATAGCCAGATGGAGAGCAAATTTAATCAACCCATAGATTCTACCAAAGTAAGGAAGATTTTCTAATGCATTCACATATTAAAAAGTGTTTTTTATAAAGCAAATTTACCATAGCTCATTTCCTTACATCCAGCAGTGGAGGAGAATGGATGAAGGAAGGAAAGAATAAAATCAAAAAGGACAAAAGTTGGGGCCAGAGTGATAGTACAGTGGGTAGGGCACTTGCCTTGCACTCAGCTAACCCAGGTTCGATCCCTGGCATCCCATGTGGTTCCCCCGAGCACTGCCAGGAGCACTGCCTGATCCTGAGTGAAGAACCAGGAGTAAGTCCTGAGCATTGCCGGAAGTGACCCCCCAAAATTTAAAAGGACAAAAGTTACCCCTCCTCCCAAGTTTTCTATTTCTCCTTCACTAAGGGCATCTCAGTCTTTGCAGGTGAAAAACACTGAAGCTTAACGATGTTAATCCAGACTTGACCCTGTGCAAACTGTGTAACCCTTTTCAATCAACATCTTTAAGCCTCAATGACCTCAAGCACATATGAGAATGCTAATAGTACCTGTCACATCACTAATATTAACATCCATGAGCCACTTCAGCTAGACTCCACGTGTGCTAAGTACTGGTATGATATTTTTATTAAGTAAAATCTGCATTGCTATGCCTGACTCTGCCACAAGGAGAACCAGGAGCTCAGACTCCCCACCTTCTGGTAGGCAGGCTGCTGGGGAGGACTGATTTCCTTTGTAAATCCTTCTGGAAGGCTCACTAGCTTGCCAAGGGCCATTTTACTTTTCTCTGGAGCCTTGTCATCAGCAAGAACCTGTAAGTTAAATTCAGCCTTGCTGAGAAGTTAGTGGATAAGGGTATGTGGTCTTTGCAAAGGCAGGTAGTGGAAGTGGGGTGGCACGTTTTAAACAGGACATTCTAGAGAGTGGGAAAAACCACAATCGGAAGAAAGAAATTTCCATGTTGAAGAGAAAGTAAGGGAAGTGGAAAATCTGGAGCAAAAACTAAAATCCCACCATGTGGTAGCATCACCTTTCCAAAGATCAGTCCAAACTAACAGAGGGCACTACAGAACCTCCCTGACCTCTCCTTGATCCTCAGTGAACGGAACCCTAATCCATTCAGACTGGCTAAAATTTCATGCTCAGGCGAACCCCTAGGGAGATTGTGGACTCCGGAGATAAATGAAGTGGAAAAGCTAATATATATTGAATGACTGTGTTGGACACTATGATTCGGTAATCTTTATGTTCCACACCAAAAAATCTCTTCTAAAGCTTATTACAATCCAATGAAGTGGGTAATAGTATTATTACCAAGGGTGATAATCTAGGACCCCAAAAATCTTACTGCAGGATCTGGGTTTCTTGAAGCCAGATTCAGTGACAGTGAACCTAAAACTCCCTTCCTTTCTACCCTCTGTGCAGTGTCCAGCTCCCTGCGAGGCCCGAGATCCTCTGATATTGGTTCTTGTTACGTGGATGGAGGGTTATTAGCCCTCAGTCCTAGTTAGTTTGGTGGCCTTGGGCTAACCACTTCATCCACAGAGGAGACGAGGGTCATCAAACCTCCAATGTCCTCAACTGTGCACTATTTTATCATTGTCCCAAATGAGGGGTGAGATAGTGTGAATTTTCTTCAGATATGGGGAAATAACATTTATAAGAAATAAATAAGAAATAACATTTATAAAAGTATAAATGTGTATTCTCCCAAAAGCCATATGTCATGTAGAGATAGCTAAAAAGTGATTTCACTAATTTTCAGATTAGGCAATTTCAAAACAAAGATCAGTTAATAAACAATCCTTCAGGCAGCCATTAATTTTGTGATACAACCAACATTTTTTCCATAGCATCATAACTGCTCTGGGTTCTTTTTTATGTCTTTGATATTAAGTTCTGAACTTCCAAAAGGGACATGTGCATTTGGGGTGAGGGGCGGGAGAAGGGAGGCTTGCCACAGTTGCCCCAACTCACTAAGAATTTCATAAATTACAAAGACCAGATTAGCCCTCGGAGGCCTTTAATTTTTTAAGCATTGATTATTCTTCAAACCCTAAGTCTAAGAAAAGCTAGACATTAGCAAAGTATGGCACAATTGTGTCACTAGAGAGTACAAATCTATTCCATTGATAATTTGCAAAGTTCAAAAAATTTAACACAGAATTCCCCAGAGGCCCAAGAATTCCACACCAAAGGGGAAAACAAAAACTCATTTTGGATATAGAAAAGTTGCTTCTGTTTTATTCTAGTTGCACCTTTTTTCCTCAAGACAGATGCTGGTTCAGCTGGAACATGACCACCTATTTTCCTCCCTTCACTGAGCCTGCCCCAAAGGAGGCAATGATACTGGCATAAACAACAGAAAACACACCTGAAGCATTTTCAGGGCTAGAGCTACTGCTACACGAATGTCACAAACCATCCCACGCGCCCTGGTGTACCAGAAATTAACTTGCAGCACCCAAAAGGTGCCCATTCCCTCGCCTTGGCTGGCTTATCGTGGCTTGATCTAAATCTGAAGGACCAGCTCCAGGAGGCGGTTAGCGAACTTCCACCATTCTCGCTTTCTGCTCCAAAAGCCCACTAAAGCACACAGCACACATGAATCATGGTAACAAGACATCCATGGCTTCAGTGACAGGCACTTGGTGGAGAGAAAGCGGGAGGAGCCCTTCTCAGACAGTTTCCCATGAATACTTCAATGCCAAGAAATCAGCTACCTAATTGTGCTCTGTGGGAGTTCTCACCATTTTGAGGAACCTCTGTGTTCCTTTTTCTCTATATAAGCACGTGAGTTCTTATGTGCGTGTGTCTGTGTGTGTGTGTGTGTGTGTGAGAGAGAGAGAGAGAGAGAGAGAGAGAGAGAGAGAGAGAGAATGAGAGAGGTGGAGAGAGAGATGGAGAAAGAGAGGGATGGGGAGAGTTGGAGAGGGGGATGGAGAGAGATGGAGAGAGAGGGATGGAGAGAGAGATGGAGAGCGAGAGAGAAAGGGAGAGATTTCGGCATCATAGATGCCGAACCTGCGGGTCCCAGGGCACATTTAACCAGCGGGACGTGGATGCGGGTGGAAGGGCGGGCGTGGTGGAACGCGAGGCACTCACACCTCCAGAGCGCGCGCGCCACCCTGAGCAGACGCCAGCGATGCGTGCCGTATCTTCCTTCCTTCGGGTTCCCACATCCGACCTCCCTCGTCCCCTCCGACACTCAGTCAGGTGACGCTTCAGACTTCAAACGCTGCCCTACTCTCCTCGCCCCGCGGAAGGCGATGCATTTAGGGACATTCACAAAATCGGCCAGGAACGCCTGCATGTGGCCTCCGAGCCAGCGCGCAGAGCCCGGCCACGCAGGGGCAGCGCGGCGACGGGGCGCCCGTGTGAACGACGCCTTTCATGGGCTCGTGTCCACCCGAACGCGCCTTCGTGCCCCACGCAGCCGCGACGCCGCGCAAACCTTGTTCTCCAGAGCAGCCTCTTTTGTCGGGCGGTGCGGGAGGTGGCGGCGGGGGAGGGCGGTTGCTAGAGGAAAATGCCGTTTCCTCTCCGCGTGCTTCTCGCACCGCAGGTTCTCGCTTTTCCGGGAGGCGAAGCCTCGGTCCCTGGAGGAACTCGAGCCCCTGCATCCTTCTGCCCTACGACACCCACCCTGCAGCCCCCCGGCGCGCTGAGGGCCAGCTGCTCGGGCCCACGACCACCCCCGGGCCCACGGGAGAGCGCGCACACAATAAGAGGCCCGGCCGGCCCCGCTCGGCCCGGCTCTCCCCACGGCCAGTCCCGACAATGACCAGCCCACTCGCAGCCGCTCCGCCCCGGCCTCTCCCCTCCGCCGGCCACGCGGCGCCCAGCCTGGAGGGGCCCGGCCGGCCCGGCTCGCGGCGTTCGCAGCCCGGCGGCAGGAGACAAAAGAGGCAGGTGCGGGGCGCGCAGGGGCCGCACCCCCGGGCGGCCCGGGGCTGGCCGGGGCCGGGAAGAGCTTTCGAGGCACGCCGGGCGGGGCCGACGGCCGACGCCCCGCGCCCCCCACCCGGGCCGGGAGGCTGGCGGGACCCCCGCCCCGAGCGCCCCTCCCCGCAGGTCCCTTCCCCCAGCGCAGGCAGGGCACGCACCGGTCGGCGGAGAGAGGCTGCCCGGGCGGGGGTCTTCGTGCGGCGCGGGGGTCGCCTCCTGCTGCGGGCCGGGGCTGCGGGGAGACGGCGGGGCCGGGCGGGCTGCAGCAGCTGCGGGGCGCGGGCGTCTGGGCGGCAGCCGCTAGAGCAGGGCTGAGCCGCGCTCCGTCCTCATTGAAATGCGGCGCTTCGCACAGCCTCACTCCTGCCTCTCCCGAGCAGGGCGGCGGCGGCGGGCGCGCTCCCTTCGCTCCCCCCTTCCCGCAGCCGCGAGCGCGCCCCGGCGCCCCCGCCCTTCTGGGGCCGCACGCACCCACCACGGCTGCGCCCCGTCCTCCGCCCGCGCCCTCCGGGCCGCGATGACCTCAGTGCACAGAGGTGGAGCAACGCACCCCTCCACCCTCCCACCACCTCCTCCCCAGCCGTCGGGAGCCGGGCGAGGAGCTGCTGATGGTGGACCTGGGAACACACCCGGACAGAGCCGTGGACCTGGCCAAGTGGGAGCCAGGAAAAAATGCGCACGGGAGAGGTGACATGTGGCCCCCTCTGTAAGCAAGGGAAACGCACACACAGAGGCACACGCGTGCACACGCGCGCGCGCACACACACACACACACACACACACACACACACAGATGTGGCCTGAGACTTTGATGCCTTCGCCAGGCTTTTTCAAAGCCACCGTACTCACCCTCTCCCACACGCGTCACTTTGCAGTTATCCTCAGCCCTCCCAAGGGGCAAGGGCTGGATCTGTGCATCCATCCCACCTGTCACCTCTGCTGGACCCCAAGACTGAAGTCACCCTTCAAGCAGTGACCTCTGCTAAGGCCATTGGTCCTTAAGGACCCGGTGTCACTGTTGGACACCTAGAGGCGGGAGATCAGCTCCGGAAAGCCCCTGGCTCACTCAGGTCTTCTGTTTAGTACCAGCAGACCCAGAGCCTACACAGTTGCCTCCCGTTGAGACATGAAAGACCAGTGACCATGAAACCGTCACCTGGCTCAAAGGGCAACCTGATTTCAGAATAATTCACCTCCTGATTTGCAGTCTTCTTGCGTTGTACATGTGTTTCTCTCCATTATGCATATATGCATATAAATATTATGCATTATGCATATAAATATATTTATCTCTGACATCTTATTATGACATCTTATTATCTCATTCCTACTTTGGACAAACTGGCATGCTTCCGAATGTAGCCTGCCCACACGGTAGACTCTGGCAATCTCCCTGTGGCGTACCCAATATGCCAAATACCAGTAACAATGATGGGTCTCATTCTCCTAAAGAGCCTTGAATATAATCTCAGGGTTAGGATGAAGGAGACGTTACTGGGGCCTGCTTGAGGCAATCGACGATTAACAGGATGATTTGTGATTTGTGATTTGTGTGATCATAAGTAGCCAGAGGCACCAGGGGGCCTGGGTTCTAGGCAAGATGCACTTTGATGCTTGGGCTGGAAGGAAGAGGCTCTGGCCAGCAGTGCAGCGAGGAGCGGGTGTCTCGGGGGTGCCTGGTGAGAACCACTTTGAGTGTGACACGAGCTCTCCCCACCCCCACCCCCAATCTCAAGCTTTCAATGGAAAGTCAAATTTTAACTGTCTTGCTTCAAGACAGTTAAAAGGCACTGGAGCTGAGCTCAGCTATATGTTTTAGAACTTAGCAAATAAGGAGTATTCTAAAAGAGTCTCAATTTTTTTTATAAATGATTACAATTAATTTTTAAAAGCTCAAATAAGATGCATGTTACATATTCAACAAGTGTTGTATATTTATTTAATATCTATTTATTGGATAGCCCAGGGATGTGAGCAAAATGAAGTCTCTTAATGAACAAAATGCAAAGTACTGAATGCATTCCTTCAAATTCCCATGTAAAAAGATGGCCAAAGGGTAAATATAGAGAATGTAAGAAGCCCAGGGTATTTTCCTGAGAACAGAAATCAGAGCTTTTGTTTATCTTTCCACTCACAAATGCCAAAATATTTCTGCCAAAATGCTAAACCAAGAAATATATTTCATCTCCTCTCCCTTATGGACATTCTATCAGGGTCATTTCTGAAGTATGTTAAGTAACACAGCAGCCATTTACCTCTTTCCTAGCTGTTCTATCTGGGATATAAGCTAATGTGTTGAGAGAAACACTTTTGATTGTTATTCTCACAGTAGTGAAGTGCTCTCACCAGAAATAGCATTAGTAACCCTGTAAGGCACCAAGAGAGCAGATGCTAATCAAGCAGATGAACACAATCCAAAGCACCCATTGGCCACCATGGTTTGTTCACACCATTTAGTCACAAGAGCAGCCTGGTACCAACTGGCACACAGTAACCTGATTGAAGGCATTCTAATTGGCTGGAGTTACTTCCGGGATAGCTTAATCCTCAGAGAATTTTCTCTTCAGTAATAATTTCCAATTAACCAGGATGCAATGTAACCAGGAAAGTCCTAGTTCAAGTAATTTTCAAAAGTTGAGGTTCTTCCTTTCATACCAGATCCAAGAAGTGACAGGAATTACTGTATACTTGTCTCCAGGAAAATCTGAAGTTGATCAAGATCTCATGCCAACTCCTGAAGACTAATGCTATTCAAAGCTGGGCACCAAAATTTCTCTCTAGAGCTCCCTTGTGTCCTGTCAGATGACAATGCCTGGGTCACTCTCCTGACAATGGTCCCCACTAAAAAAGTGCTTGGCTTTTGCCTTGCACGCAGCCAACATGGCCGACCCGAGTTCAATTCCTCCGCCCTTCTCGGAGAGCCCGGCAAGCTACCGAGAGTATCTCGCCCGCACGGCAGAGCCTGGCAAGCTCCCCATGACGTATTCGATATGCCAAACACAGTAACAACAAAGTCTCCAGTGGAGACGTTACTGGCCCCGCTCCAGCAAATCAATGATCAACGGAAGGGCCTTTATTGTCATAAGAACCACTCAAGGCAAATATTACTGACCATCTTAAGATTAAAAAATTTAGGCATGGGGAAGGCACATCATTTCTCTGAAGTCACACATCCAAAACGTGTGTAGGTCTGTTTCATTAGGAAAAAAAATCCCTGCCTTAAAATTCAAGTCATTTTTTTGCTTGCCATTGCCATATGTTTAGAAAGTTATACCAAATTCCAGTGCAATGTACAAGTACAATCTCCTTCGGAAATGTCACTGTCACTGTCACTGTCACTGTCCTCCCGTTGTTCATCGATTTGCTCGAGCTGGCCCAGTAACGTCTCCACTGCGACACTTGTTACTGTGTTTTGGCATATTGAATACATCACGGGTAGCTTGCCAGGCTTTGCATTGCAGACGAGATACTCTCTGTAGCTTGTTGAGCTCTCCGAGAGGGACGGAGGAATCGAACCTGGGTCGGCCAGGTCAGCCTTTGGAAATGCAGTGCTGTAATCAATGTTATTTTCTATATACAGAGAGAATCAGTCTTTGCTAAGATGAACCCTCTTCCTTTAAAGCTGGGTACTCTCACTGTGTTTACACTAAACTTTCATGAGAACACTCTCTGAGAACACTTGCTTCCTTTCTTCATACACAAGGTTCATGGAGCATCTGAACTCCATGACTTTTTTTCTTTTTACTTTTCAGACGGGCTGGAGTGATAGCACAGCAAGTAAGGCTTGCACACACCCGACCCAGGTTCAATTCCTGCGCCCCTCTCAGAGAGCCTGGCAAGCTACCAAGAGTATCTCGTCCACACGGCAAAACCTGACAACCTACCCATGACTTATTCAATATGGCAAAAGCAGTAACAAGTCTCACAATTTGTTGTGAGACGCTACTGGTGCCTGCTCAAGCAAATCGATGAACAACAGGAGGACAGTGCACCAGTGCTACTTTTCAACATTGGTTCAAGCAAGATGATTTCTTTTCCCTTCCGGTAAAGAAATTCAAGTATAGGCAGACCGAAGCAAGTGCCACCTGTCCGCATTGTCACCAGAGCCCCCGCTCTCTTTCTCCACCACCCTTGGTGTGGTACTACTGTCCTCAGGGTTGCCTTGGCATCATAAAAGGCTAGCTGCAACTCCAGTCCTCTGTATTTTTGATCCTGATTAGGACAAGTTCATCTTCCTAGAACTTTCTAGAACCCTGACTCCCATCCTGACTGAGACACCTCCTCTGTTGAACTTTGTAAAACTTGTGACCCCTTGAAATCTGCAGCCTACAGCTCAGTGCAAGCAGCTCATAGAATCTCAAAGTAGCAGCAGTTACAGAGCCGGCAGCAAGAAGCTTCTGGAAGTCAATTTTCAGGTACTAACCAAGGAAGAGAAAGACAGACTTGAAAGAACAAATTTTTAGGGCAAGGTAGGCAGCTCCAAGTGCTAGAGCCCATTAAATCGCCAAACCCGTATCACCAGGTGTTCTCTAGCCCCTCTGAGCACTGCTTGGAAAAGTCCAAACACATAAAATGAAACAAATTAGTAATGTTTAGTTGTCCATGTTTCTCTTTTCTGATATTTGGCATTGGCATTTTCCTGGGAAATATAGTAAATCATAGAAAGTCCAAAGGCAATAATGGCAACTGGATATTAGCAGAAAGAAATGAACAGTTTTTCCTCCTCTATAAGGATAGATTTACTCTATTTACTCTGGATGATTCTTTTTTTTTCTTTTTGGGTCACACCCAGTGATGCTCCGGGTTTACTTCTGGCTCTTCACTTAGGAATTACTCCTGGCAGTGCTGGGGACCATATGGGATGCCAGGGATGGAACCTAGGTTGGCCGCGTGCAAGGCAAACTTCCTAACCACTGTGCTATCGCTTCGGCCCCAACTCTGGACAATTCTTAATCTTGTTTCAGACCACCTCTGAGGTTGAGGGCAGTTCACAGTGCTCTCTAGAAGAGGGACTAGGCACATTTTGTACCTGAAATAACTTTGAGAAGCAGCTTCAGAGAAGCTGCTAAGATCATCAGCATCTATCTTTGTCTTTCTTTCAGTATGGTCAAGGCTCTTAGCAGCATTTCCCAAATATTTCCACAATTCCCCCAATTACAGAACTCTCTCTTTTGCTTTCCACCTATAGGACAGAAACTCTGCAAGGTCATATCTTGGCAGCCCTCTCCAATAAATTTATCCCAGACATCAATTCCTTCCAAGACAAGTTATCTTTCAGCCTCCACTGTGTAGCTGTAATGGTAGTGACAGAAGTGAAGAGAAATAAGCTTAGCTACTGAGAAGTAGGTTAGATCAGGGAATTCGAGGCATAATGGCTGGGATCCCTAAAAGTATTTTGTAACAGGCCATTTATCTCTGCCTGTCATTCCAAACACGCTGAACTATACTTATATAGATGTGATATA